CTTGCTAAAAAATATAAAACGTGTATATATATATATATATATATATATATATATATATTAGGGCTGTGCAATATTGAAGAAAAATGCGATATGCGATACCTTGTTAAAAAATGCGATGTTCGATATGCAATATGATATTGCTTAAAGTGTGTAAAATCAATTTAAATGATATTTTAAAATATTTAATTTAATATTTAATTGTTTCACATTCTTTCTTGGAAAATAAAGAATCACTATAACTTCTGAAAGTGACCAGCAGTGTTTTAGCATTACTTAAAAAGTAATGTCACAAATCAGAAAATGTAATTTAACATCAATGTGAACATACAAACAAAAAAATTTATGACACACATTATTCATTGTAACTTTGCTTTCCACACACTTTTAAGTACTTCTTCATATACCACAGCAAAAACTATAGTCTGAGAAAGTTCAAACATGATTAAAGGAAAGTGAACAGTCAGTAGAAAAAGGAAAAAAAAAATACACAATTTACAAGCACAGATAAAATAAACGGTAGTATTCAGGTACAGAAATTTAATAATTAAGTGTAAAATAACATAGATTTTGTAAATGAGTGTAAAAATGCATAGTGTTCACAGTACGAATTGAATTTAGATTAATATTTGTTATGGCCGTGTTTTGTTAACATTAGTGACATATTCAGCAGCACGTATTTATAGGCTGCTGTCCCTTTAAATCCGACTGCACGGATCCAGTATAATTATACACATTCTGTCTGTCTGTTTGCATTTTTATTATGTCGAGAACCGTTCATCCAATCGACTTCACGCGTGGCGGGTGTGTTGCTGCGGACCCAAGGGAGTGCAGTGTCACATTTTGGTGAAATATGGACACGCGACACGTTCAGAATTAATAAACTTTTAATAACCTACAGAACAGCGTGAGCCGGAAGCGGCGCGCCTCACGCGGGCAGGGCTTATATGCTCTGAGAACGGACACTGCACTAGTGATACAAAACACACAGGTCTGTTAAGATCAATACTTTTAATATAGACAAATTATTATTAGGCTGGGCTACTGTACGTTTTTTATGACTGCCGTATTCACAAGTATTTTCCAAGCAAATTAAGCGCACGTTTTTATCATGTGTAAAATTACTGAATAACATGGCGGATAAAAGCAGCTCGTTTTTTTATACCAACAATATACTATAGGCGTACTACTTACTGAACTCAAATTTTTCAAACTTTATGTGCTGTTGTGGTAGGCCAGTTTCAAATCACATATTTGGCACACTGCCTTTGTCTTGTCCTCACTCAATTTAAAGTGCTCCCACACAGCTGAGA